GTTTGTAACGTGACAGACGAAATGACTGACAGACAAAAAAAAAAGTTTTTGTTTAAATAATGAAGAACTCCATTGATTGATTGTGTTTTGTTTTCATCCCAGGTGTGTGTCGAGTCAATGACAGAGACGATCACCAATCAAAGCGGCGACATAGTGACCCAATCTTACCCACAGCTCATCACCAAGGGCACCTGCGTCTGTCTGAGCTGGTCCGACCAGAAAGTGGACATCAAAACATCCCCTCTGTCCGTGGACGAACTGAGAGTGGACAGCAACCGAAACACTGTCGAGCAGGGGGGTACAAAGTATCAGGAAGAAGGAAACATTGTGGTGCAAGCTTGTTGAACCAATTGGCCCCAATCCCAGTTCCAGTTTCAGCATTTAGCATTACATGTTACATACTAACCGCATGACTAAATGTAAACTTTTTTTTTATGCATACCAATCATTAATGTGTAACCTGATAATATACATTTATTATTATTGTCACTGTAGCAAATGTTTATTTCTGTGCAAATGATAACTGATGACGAATCTGTCTCAAATTTTATCATGCAAGAAGAGGTGGCCTTTCAACTTGTCATTTTATCTCCTACTCAGATCCATGTGTCATCTACTTGTGATGATATAGAGTGCTTATCGCACGTGGAATGAATAAGCTCTTGAATGTAGAAATATATTTTGTCTTTCTGTTAATTGTTTTAAAATGTTTCGGATGTTCCTTCAGAGTTGAAGATAATCTAGGCCTACTTCCTAGTCCAACCTCCCCGCAGGACGACGTAGGAAGTCATAGGACATTTGATTGTTGTAGCTATTTTTTTTAAATACATAATTACTGATTTAATGTATCGAAATCTTTACTAGGGGATCATTATAATTAGTGATTTGATTAAGATGTTACTCTTTTGCAAGGTATGCAGTACAGATATAGTCACTGTGTCGATGAAATGCATACATGTTTGTTAACATTCAAATACAAGCAACTAGTTTTGTGAAGAATAAACATCTTAAAGGGAATTAATTACCCACTAGATCTCGATCTAAATAGTGTACAAGTGTAAAAAGGGACAAAAGTTTCTATACCAGATATAAACCTTATAAAATGGGTATTGGTTTTTGTGAGGTAACGAAACTTAAATCTACACACCCTGCTGCTCGGCGACTCAGGATACCTAAAACTGAATAAAACATTAATTCAATGGAAATTCACTATGTTTATCAAGGGAAGCTACCTTCTTCTGTCTATTCTATTGTCTCTATAGAGTTACCCTACGATCCGTCTCTATTCTTAGCGTCTTTCTTGTAAGACCTTAGCAACTCTTCTGGTTTATAAAGCCGTCAAAAATACTTTTTAAGCATTTCTACTCGCCTTAACATGCCTTTTCTTTTCTGAGCGTTACAGAGGTCAGTGATCTTCGCCACTTGATAGTAACATAGCTTCTAATGTTTTATTTGGGTTTGCAATAATTGATAAAAGTAACTAAACGTCTGTCTAGTAAATCAACTTAATATGATAACAAACAAAAAAATACTTCGATGAAAACAACTACAATTACCCTGGTTAGCTTGCTTCTGCGATAGTTCTATTCCAACAATGAAACAGAAAACAATGTTTTCTATAATTAAGATCATATAGGATGTTAGTTAAACCACACTAAATGACAAACGAAGTTATTTGTGATTGATGGTTGTGACATATAGACCTTTGTGATTGTCCAAAGTACAAGATTCTTTGAACTCTAGGTTAATAGAAGTTTCCTTCCATCAGCCTGTCTGAACCATTGTTCTGTTTGGGAAGGATCCAAGCCTATGTAAAATAGTTTCATCCCTATTACCGATGGTTTGTGTCCCAAGTTTGTTGGACGAGAGGCGAGTCCGAAGGTCGAGCACACCGGTAAACTCCCCCATAATCGTTCTTTGTACCACATCAGCCAGTGCTGGTGTCCGCTATAAAACGGCCCCTTCTGGTGCGGTGTTTGGACAGTAACAAGGTTGTTGGGGCTCTCTTCCATCCCCGCCAGTGCGATGGACTCGGTTCTAAGTTACCCCAAGGGGAGTTCTGTTTTCCTCCCTAATCATTTCCCCTAACGACCGTTTCAACTCGGGCGCCACCTTCAGGCTGAGAAGAGTTCTATCCCTACAAATACTTTAGTTGCAAAACCTGAAGACTTTTTTGTTTTCTATGTATAGACTTAAGCCTAAAATGATAAACTATTCTGTTTCTTATTGGACTCATAAACCAATGTCACACATAGTCTGACGGATTTTTATTGTTGGTGTTTTGTATCTAGATGCATGATATACTATGTATATTCTTCTAAATAAACTAGGTAACCTTTACTATATTCGATCAAGTTTTTTTGTTTAATTTGTTTACAAGCTTACAATGCTAGATTCTCTTGAAGAAAGTAGTTTTAAGTAGGCCTATCAAGGATGACTGGTATAAGCCCAAAGATTTATTATCATTATTTAACGACTTGTTTCCTGGGAGTGCTGTGATGGTGTTCACATCCAAAGCTCTATTTGAGTCGACATTAAAGTATCAATAGACATTCCGATCCACGCATTTGCGTTGATTAACTATCCATTCTTCTGGCTACTCGGATTCTTTCATTGTGGTTTGTATCATTCAAACTTCTTTAGAAGCTATAGACTATATTGCAATGGTAATAATTATTGACATTGTCCAGTAGCGACATAAGGTTTCCTCCACAGACCTATATATTATTATAACTAGACTGGAAGCGCCTATCTCGGCACTACACACAAAAAAAGTGAAAAACTTGAACAAGCTGAAACAAGGTGTTGTTTTGTAAAGTAGTTAGAAGAAGTTTTTTTTTCCAACCTAACTATTGTAACATACAATGTACACGATATAAATTATTATTTTGCTATTTTTAGATCTAGAAAAGTCCATGTAATTAACCTACTTAAATATACAATCTAAAATCATAAGATGAATCAAATCAACAGGTTTGAATTATTTACATCTAAGATTGTCTAAACATGATCTCAATGCAAACTAAAAGGAAATGGCTCAATATCATGGGTGTGCGTGAATATTTAGTTCTGTGATTAATAGCACATTCTATTTTTTTTTTTAATCTAAATGTGACATACATACTGATACTCAAACGGACGCACATACAGACTCTTTGTATTTATGTCAGTGCTGGAGTCGCCTGCTGAGATACGCAGATGTAAGCAAGTGTGAAAAAAGTAGCTTCCCTAAGACACCATTTTCATATGCATCAGCAAATATGTATATAGTTATATATATTGATTAATATTATTGTATTGTACTGTATAAGATTTTTTAACTTTTGTTTCAAAACGGTCCATTTATATTTTTAAAAAATAACTGTTTTCATATTTATTTTTAAAAAACAAAAGGGTTTGATTTCAGAAGATCAAAAGTATACATTGTTTTTTTTTAAATCTAAATGTGACATACATACTGATACACAAACGGACGCAGATACAGACAGATCCACTTCACGAAATTAATATAGGCTTTACCCCTTTCGGCAATCGCTAAAAGTACATATTCTTTAACTTGCGCTAAAAACTTGGGGGCTTCTAGTGTTAACTAGTTGGGTTACGCTAAAAACTAGTGGACTTCTAGTGTTAACTAGTTGGGTTACGCTAAAAACCTGTTTCTACCTACGGATGACTAGTTGTGTTTTTAAAAGAATGAAGATGTGCTGTGGAGAGGAAATAATTTTTACTTCTGGATCCTTGCAAGAAACATATAGGCTACTCATATCTTACACTTTTTAGGCTCAAGGGAAAGAGTGAAAACGCTAAAATGATTTGGGCCCACATGAGCCCTTGGAAAATATTAATTTGCTTGTTTGTTTGTTTGTAAAAGACGTTTGTATTGTAAATGTCACGTACACTATATCTATATTAAGCCATAGTCTATATTTAGCTTGTCTGCAGAATTTTAGCTACCTCGGGATTTTCTATCACGCAGCAGGATTATGTTTTGAAATAAATATGATTGGTTTAAAGTATTAATTATTGTACTTTGAGCTGCATTTATTGGTTGGCCTTGCAGCGTAGAGATGTTGGTCAAGTGATAACGCTCTAGAGCCCGGGAAGGATTCTAGATTGCGGTAGTCTTGTGCGGAACGTGTTAGATATAACATGTACTAGAGTTTAGTGTTAGAACTCAATTATATTATTATGTAGATCAGTTATTCTATTCAAGTACATTTAACCATTGTAATTATTTGTGAATAGCTTTTCAAGTTTTGAATTAAAGTAATTGTTTAGACGAAGAGTAGTTTCTTCATTGAATATAATAATATACTTAGATCGTCTTGTCAACTAGTAACTTCTAGATGATCCTCTTATCAACTGGCAACTTCTATGTGATCCTCTTATCAACTGGCGATTTCTGAATCCTCGGCAATGACGATCATTGATTGTGCTTCAACGTGACATCTTGGCATCAAGTTTGATCGTAACATCTAGCACTATTGATGATCGTAACAGTAAACAATAGAATCATAAAAGGTACAATACTTGCATTGGAAGTCTGCAGGGACTACTTTCGTCATGACTTCTTCTTATTCATAGAATTTATTTTTCAAAATTATATTAAAAATTTAAAATGTAAAAGAAAATGTATTATCTATATATATAATTCTCTTCATGGCTCAACAGTTTGGACACCAAGAAGAAACAGAAAAGATCTCTTTTCTATTTCTTCAAGTCGGACTAGAGTTAACCCGCGTAACTAAAGCGGCGAAAACAAAAAGAGTTAGGGGGAGAACAAGTAGTATTATCACCCGCCACTAAATAGCTAGGCCGGACTTAACCATTGCGACCAAGAAGTCATGGAAAGATCACTCTTCTATTTCTTCAAGTCGGACTAGAGTTATCCAAAAACTTTTGCGGCGAAAAAAAAAAAAAAGAGGGGGAAAGAACAAGTAATCTTCTCTGTATTCACCTGTCACTAAATAGCAGGACCAGACATAACTATTGCGGAGCTCTATGCGTAACGGATTGCGCAGGGCCCAGTTTGGATAGGGATACGGATAATAAGTGAAAATTAAGAGTTTGTATTAGAAAATAAATTCATCTTTGCATCTTATTCATTCTTTACTACGTACAGAATTACTTTACGAGCCTTGCGTGTAGCGAAATCATACATTATATCATAAAAATTATGTTTCCTACATAGATCACGCTCAGCAGCAAGAATTACCAAATGTTTCAATCTACCTTCGAGAATTCTTGACCTCAAGAAATTCTTCATTAGTTTGAGGCGAGAGAAGTTTCTTTCACAAGATTCCACAATTACGGGTATTACATAATGCCGTTTGTTTGTATCGCGCGTAAGATTGGCGTTTTCCATATTGAATGACACTTCAAAATGACAATTTTGTCTATATTTCAGGAGATTGGTATGAGTTTTCAAAGGATTTTAATAATTTCGTATATTTCTAAGACTTTTTCGTATATTTTGCAATTTCAGGATATTTCCAGGAGCAGCTGGTAAATCGACAGGAGATCGCGGGAAATCTGTTATAAGTTATAAAATGGTTTAATTTGGTAATTTACACCTAGAATTAGCGTGGGTTCTATAAAAGTGTGGGGCCCACTGCGGGCCCACATAACAGCGTATGCTACGCCATGGGTCGACTAGTTCTATATAATTTTGTTACAGTTTGTGCCCCACATAGCAGCGTATGCAACGCCGTGGGACGACTAGTTCTATATAATTTTGTTACAGTTTGTGCCCCGGGACATTAAGAAACACGAATGTTGACCTGGTCTCGTTTTCTTTGTGTTCTGACAACCTTCTTCACCCGATCGTCACAACGCTTCTCAATCAACTAGTGTATCATGTTTCTTTATGCTAAATAGCACTTTTACTTCCCCCTCTCTCCCCTTCTAACACGCACCACACAAAATATTTTCAAACATCTCACAGATGTAAAACTTAGTATTGAAATTATTTTCATCTTATAATCTGTTTTTAAAATACATGAAATGCTAAAAAAAAAAAACGCACCCCCCCCCACCCAAAAAAAAAAAACTACTCAAAATCGCAAGGTCCTCACGGCTCGCAGAGACCTTCCTTCAGGGAGCAGTACCAGGAAAAAGAAGAGAAAGCGATGGGAAGACAACATCAGTTAATGAATTCTATCCAAGGCAAATGACAGAGAGAAATTGAGAAAGGTGGTTGACAGATCTTGTGTGGTGCCCCGACGGTCCAACAGACGAAGGGATAGGTGAAGAGGTGAAATACTAAAACCCTAACCTACAAAAATAAACCTAATAAAATATCCATTACGGTATTATGATAAGGTCATATTCAGTTCTGTGTGATTGTGGAAAGAGTAGAATCGAAGGCTCTTCGAACTCTAGGCGTGTAAGCCTGCTTGAACAAACCGTTGTGTCTAGAAGAGGTCAATATCTATGTAAAACATTGCTTTTTCCGATATATCTGGCACTCCGGGCGCATGGACGAAGGCCGAGTACACCGGGAACCTCCGCCATTTTCCTATGTTGTACCAAGCTAACCGTGCAGGACTCGCCATTAGTGTAACGGTCCCTTGAGGAACGGCGCATAAATTATCGACAAGGACGTGGAAGCTCTCTTTCAACTCCGCACCGTGCAATGGGAAAGCTCTCGCATTCCCTTGGACACTTCCACAGGAGTTTTGTTTTGCCTAATCACTTCCTTTAGCGATCGTTTCCACCTGAGTGCCACGTTGAGGCAGAATATCGTATTCGGGTATTCAGTTCTTACATTAGTGCTTGTTCTTTACTAGTGCCATTAAAACCTGAACTAGGTTGCCTGAATCAACCCAGGAAAACCAATGACCTAGTAGAGGTGGGAAGCGTGGTCGAGAGGCCAAGTGCGCTTGAACTTGGTTTGGCTTGGCTACCTAGAAGGGGGCTCGAGGCTCGACACCCGACTCGGGCAGAGTTGTGTTTACTGAGCGCCCAAGGGCAGCACAGAAAACCAACTACTAGATACCCCCTCCCCCCCACCGGTTCACAAATGAGATTGGACCAAAAGCGCTCTGAGTATGCTATAAGCATGAAAGTAGCGCTATATAAAAGCTATAATAATAATAATAATAGAGATCTAGTCTCTAATTAACATGTACGACTAGGTAAGAAGACGTGTCCAGTCTTTTTTTTAAACGGAATCTTTGTTATTCATAAGAAAATAATTTCTAGTTCAATGGTTCACAATTAAGCGATTCAACTCTGGCAATCAATATTTCAACATTTACTTGTTAAAATAAAGCCTAACACACGATTATAATTCTACACTTTCACGCTGGCTACCAAATTGGCGTGAATAAAGTCTTTAAAAATGAGACTTTCGACCTACAAGTTACAGTTACTGAGCTATATAGTCATTGGCGCTGTTGTTTTCTTCACTAGGTGACCTGTGTAAAGGGGAAAAGGGGGGGGGGGTCCAATTTATCACATGGTTTACACTAAAGCTTATTGTTCACGTTTCATTGCCTC